CAGAGCTTGCTACAGGCTCGGTGGCTACATTTGACGCATTCCCACCTGCGCCCGTGCTCGCTGCAACAGGCAATGCGTGGACTTCGGAAAATAGCGGACTTCCAACTCGCCGAAGCGCTCGGCGGCCACCGCCCAATTTTGCGCGGCCAAGGCTACATGTGCTTGTACCCAGACCTTCAGCCAGGGCAGCGTCTTGGTCCGCAGGACCTGCCACACGCTATTTTCATCACTGCTCAACCTCCCCCGGGAGTCGACGCTTTCGTAAGCCTGGCTACCTCTGGGTCGACGCGAGGAGCTACCCTTGGCTTCGTCGCTTCCTCCTCGTCCTTTCCCGACCCCTCGCCGTGCCCCTTCCTCGGGCCTTGCCCCACCACAAGGGGCCCATGGCCCGGTCACTAGCCTCCAAATGTCCTCCTCGTCCATGCCTGTCTTCGCCAGTCCAATCAATGCCTCCAACGCTAGGGGATCATGGCCAACAGCATCTTTGTAGGCTGTCTGAGCGTCGTGCTGCATTCCGAGGCGGCGGTACACGTGTCCCAAGGTGACTGCCACTGGAACAGACGATTCTCTTGTCGAGGTGGACACGGAAAGAAGCGCCCGTAAGGCCTGGGAGGGCTTGTTGAGGGAGAGATGACAGCGAGCCTCTTTGAAGTTGATGGGCAGAGAAGGGGGGGGGCAAGGAGGGGATGTGGGGGGAAGGCCGAGCAGTTGAGTTGGAGAGCACCGTAGGGAAGAGGAGGCGGCACACTTCCGGTGGGCATTAGCTTGCTGGTAGAAAGACAGGGCCCGATAGCGTTCACCTTTCCCAACCAAGGAATCGGCGTAAAGCTCGAGAGAGGTAGCATGGAGGTCCCACATAGAAGGGCTATGAGAGATGATCGCGGGGCGAGTACAACAAAGCAGCAAGCCACCAATCAAATCCGCAGAGTCATACAGTTTCTGTCCGATGAGAGACCGAATATAGTGATGGAGGAGACGCACATCCTCTGCATGGTACGTAGCTGTCGCACCCGGGTCTGCCGTCTCGTCGTCCATCGACCGCTCTTGCCTGAGAGCTTCTTTGGTCGGCTGTGCGAAAGATGAGAATTCATCCGCATATATTGATGTGAGGTGTCTCCTGCAGGTGACCAAGTTCAAAAGTCGTGACGGGCAAGCAGTGGTGACTCTCGGCACGTGAGCTGCCCCTGTGCCAGCGGGTTTGAGCCTTGGCGCGAAGGCGGAGGAAGAACAAAGGGGCGGGAAGGGGCAACCGACAGGCACTCCGTCCAGACGACCACGAGTTGAATAACCCAGAAAGGCCGCCCACCTTCGTCTGTTACAATTCGTCGTTCTTCAATTCGCGTGTTTTCAACTTCTAAGCGCGAGCGCGCCATGTCTGGTCTTACAGCAAGCTATTTTTGTCCTCGTGAAAGCGCGTTCCCCCATCTGGCGGAAATATGTTTCTTCTTGGGCGGCAAAGAAGCGGCTTCACATTTTTCTTTTCATGAAACAATTGTACACCTGATGTGTTTCCTTCTGCAAACTTCGCTTTGTATAGCTCAACACTATTTGACTGATGCAATGGCTTCCCTTTTGCGGCGAATTAAGTGCGCATCTTTGTGTTTCCTTGTGCCATATTCCGTTTGCCGAAAGTGCTTCAACATCACTAATTTTTGAATTTTTTTCTGTTTGCGAGTCATTGACCTTACAAACATCGCGTACCAATGTCACAGACAAATCCTTGAAGCTTTGCGTCTGAAGCTAATCATGCCGGCCTCTTCGTCGCGTCGGTCACCTTCTTTGACCACGAAGACGGTAATTTTGGCCGCTTTGTTCCCTGTCGCGGCCTTAAGCTTCACTTTACCCTTCCGACACCGCCTACGGGAGCCCAACGATGTCCATCACAGCTTTCGTGAAAAAACTCATGCAATGCATCACGGTTCAAATCTTCTCGCCGGAGGGCCTTTGCGAGCAACGGCCTCTGGGGACAGAGGATTCGAGGTTCTAGACGCTGTCCCGGGACTGGCGGAACTCCAGCGTTCCGGCGCGATGACGGACGAGAAAGGAGTATCGTCACCCTATACCGGCACCACATTCGAAGAGGATTTGTTCCTCATTGACAAGGGGACAGATTTGACTGCCTTGTTGGAACCGATGGCGACGAAAGAGTTGTTCTTCGGGGACGGCCAGCCCTCCTTCGTCCCTTTGACCGACTTGTTCGACCAGGGCGTATCGGCCACGGAAGAGGCCGTCGCCAAGGTCAACGCGGACATGAAGGAGGCCCGGGATTCTCGAGGCATCGCTCCTTTCATCCAAGGCCTGCGCAAAGCTATCCTGGGCGGCAGCATGGCAGTGGGGAGTGGGGCCCGTCTCTACGCCGGGAGGTTATGCATAGGCGCCACGCAGTACGTCTCCTCGCACACCCGGCTCCTCTGCAACGTGGTTGCGCATCTTCTTGACCAAGCGCGGGTCCAAGTGCTGAAGGCACGCCTCATGATGGTTTCGCACCTCGGCGAGTTGCTCTCTCAAGTCGAAGCAGGCTTTCGTCCCAGGCCGACGCGCGTGGGCGACCGATTCACGCGCCCCGGCGCCCGGGCCGAGCCGAGGGCCCTGTCCTCGGAGAGTGAGCAGGTCGGCGTCCAAGCAGTGCTGGCAGTCCTGCGAGCTCGGTGGGCGAAGGCTCGAGCGCTGGCCCGTGCGTACCACGGGGCCGTGCAGGCTGCCGCGGGTGGCAAACTCCGAGGCGCGAGGAGAGCGGTCGAGGCCTGGACCCAGCGCTTGGGGCGGCGGGGAGAGGGGGCGGCAACGCAGTGGCCAGGCCAGGTGCAGAAGGCGTTGCGTCGATCCCTCTTGAAAGGTGGGCGGTTGGTCTCACACCTCAAGGCCCGGGGAGTGGAGCGATGGGTCCTCGGGGAACGTGGCGGGAAGGGCCTGATGGTGGAGAGGCAGGCGGACAAGGACGTCGGCCGTGGAGTGAGCGGCGTTGTTTCTGGTTTCAGCGAGCACGCGATGAAGGCAGAGGAGGCGCTCTCGCTCCCTGTCTCGGCGCCCGCACTCCCGGTTCCCCTGCCCGTGTTCCCTATGGCCCATGTCTTGGGAGGGAGCGACGAGTTAACCCTGCGGCGGCGGGAGGAGCAGGGGGTGCTACTGCTAGTGCCCTCTTTTGACGATGAGCCTCGGATGAACGAGGAGGAGGTGGTGGTGGGAGAGGCGGAGGAGGAAGTAGACGGCCCGGGGGGCTGGGAGGGCGTGGAGGCGGGAGATGTCTCAGAGGGCGGGGCGGAGGCGGGGGAAGAGAGGGTGGAGGACCTGGAAGTAGTGGAGGTGGGAGACAGGGTGGAGGACGTGATGGAGAGCGGTGTGGAGGAGCAAGGTGGGAGCGAGGAGGAGGAGGGCGAGGACGGCGATGATGACCACTACGACGGGCTGGGGCTGACGACCACGACCAAGCCGCAAGCCGAGTCGGAGGAGGAGGACTGGCAGGAGGCAAGGGAGGAAGAGGCGGCGGAGGGAGGGGCCTGGGTGCTTCGGTTTGGGGGCCGGAGGGTGTCAGACGAGGAGCGCGCGGTGATGGAGAAGCTGCAGGCCCGTCTGGTCATGCTCCCGGAGTCCTTGACGCATTGGGTCTCCCCGGGCGATTTGTTGCGGTACGTGCGCGCTTTCAAGCACGTGGAGGACGCGTGGGTGGCCCTCCGCAAGACCTGCGTCTTTCGGCGGGAGAGGGGTGTGGACGTGGCCCTGCGGCCTGATCTGGCGGAGAAATTCGCGGGCTCGCCGCTGGCCGAGGAGATGTTCTGGATGGGCCTCGACCGCGAGGGAGATCCCGTCCTCGTCTTCCGCACCGCCTTGCACCAACCCGGGCGCTTCACGACGGAGGAGTACTTGGCCTACCTCCTCTACCTGATCGAGAAGGGCCGCGAGCTCTACGGCTTGGGTCAGCGCACCCAGATCTCCTTCCTTGTGGACCGCAAGGGGGGCGGACTGGCCAACCAGGACCCCAAGGTGGTGCTGGCGCTGGTTCCTGTGCTGCAGGCGCACTATCCCGAGTGCTTGAAGAAGACTTTCATCGCGCCCGTCAACGTAATCTTCCAGTTCATCTGGAAGGTGTTCACGCTCGTGCTGGCCAAGGATACAGCGAACAGGGTCCGGCTGCTTTCGGCGGGGGACCTCGCGCGCGACGGAGGGGGTCTGCGTGAGGTTTTTTACGACGGACAACTGATGAAGCACTTGGGAGGGACTCTGGAGGGGTACGAGAAGGGGGGGAGGGGGGAAG